TGAAAGAACATCTCCAGTATCAGCATGGACTTCAATGTTGGGACTGCTGCGATCCGTCGTCTGAAAGTTTTGCCGACCACGCAAGTAACTTCCATGGACAACGAGTATGCCCTGTTTGTCAGAAGTGGATGGCAAGCAGCGAGGTTGACGTCCATCTGATAATGGGGCACAAACTTCGGGAATGTGACGAGTGYGGTCCTCAAATTAATTTCGACCATATCATGCGCCAGCATGTTTGGACGGAATGCCCGCAGTGCAGATGCATCATTGAAGAGTGGGCTTATCGTCGTCACCTACTCAATTACCATTCATGGGAGGAATGCCCTTATTGCGGCTATCTCGCACACAGCGACGCTGCTCTTGCTGACCATGAGAAAGAGCATGAGCTGCGATCTTGCGACGAATGCTTATCGATGGTCACAGAAGATGCATATGATGACCATTTACGTGACAAACATGGTATGAAGGATTGTTTGTTTTGCACAACTTACCCTCTTCCCGTTGAGTTGCTTAAAGAACACATCATGGAATATCATTGCAAAATGATGAGATGTTCAGAGTGCAATGAATTCCAAACAACAGCAGATATGCCATATCACCTCCAAGCCAGTCATGGTTGGCAGAAATGCTGCTTCTGTGACGATTTGATTGCTGGACCACAAGTCCGAATCCACGTAGACGAACATCACAAACCAGTCACATGTTTTGAGTGTGGTGAAGAGGTAGCCCAGACAGATTTCAATCTTCATCTTGTCAACAAACATGATTACAATGTTCAGCCGCCAGCAAATAATGGAACGCAGATTGACGGGCAAGCTGCAAAGAGCACTTTGGCGAACTTAAGCCAAAGGACCACCGCTTCTGAAGATAGACAAGAACGGCCCATTCTGCAGGATGCCCAATACTCAAATGCTAAGAACAAGGGGGAGAAATGCATACCATGCAACAAACACTTCGGAAACCTATACGAGCATCAGAGGAGAAAGCACAGGACACTAAGAAGAGAAAGTAAGCAGTTCACAGGAGCCAGAGTACCATGCGTTGATGGGGTTAAACAGCATTCAAAGAAAAATATATATAGGTGCAGAAAATGCAAGGAAGCAAAATTACCAAAGTAGTAATTATATTAGGTATTTTGAGAACTAAGAAATATAACTTATAGCAAAGCAGTATTTAGTAGTGAACATGATAGGCGCCGCTCTTTGTAATGGTTCTCCTAATTTACCCTGCAAAGGAATCTCGTCACGCAAAGTTGCGTAGCCTAGCCCAGAAGGATTTTGCTAAGATCTTGCTGGAGCAATTGGATATTCTTACCAATCCTCTATAGAGTTGTGAATTGCCATGTAAGAAGAGACTAATACTATCCACATCGTACCTACTTTCTTTCGTAGCAGGGTAGCAGGGGGAAAACCGAGAAAATAACAAAGCATTCTTTGTACTGATACACGGCCAAAATCAGGCAGGCTGAAATGTTGCTCCGTTGTGACCAGATGATGCAACCACATCGCGCTTAATGCCTGCCCTCTACGTATTCCCTCCTATACAATATCAGTGGGAGACCATCGCTGACTATACCAACCTGCCTGGTATGTGCTAGATGTGAT